CGAAGGTCGATTCTACCAAAAGTAGTTTTCTTGACCCGTTATCTTAAATTTGGTTCTGACGATGATGATGACGGACGAAAGCATAGCATGTTATCACCGGAATCGAAGGAGATTACATCGAAAAAAGCATCCCCATGAATGTTACAGTAGAGCCGATCGACAGCTGGTTAGAGGAATCCGCCGTCGTCTTCTGATGGAATCGACCTTCACCAAACACTTTCACTCGAACAGTTCTACGACCAAACCATCATCACCTTTAAGAAAATAGGGTGAATACATATCACACAAAATTGCCAGCAAAAGCGACTGTATCCGACGGTCAAGAGTGGTTGAAAAGAGAAGAGAGACTGGACATGAAATGGAATATTTGATGTATATAATTAGTTTTCGTGACTTGTGGTACTCCTTGAGTAAGAGGTGACTCCAGATCTCTTGAGGCTAGTAAGGACTGATGGTCCAAGTTTCCCACAACCAGATGAATGTGTTTCACGACCCCATTGCATTCTACACAGTCTTACCAGCCAAGACCTAATCTAAGCTGGACTGCAGTTTCAACCTCGCTCGGGCCTCATCAGCAACCTCGGCGGGATTCGATACTGGATCGTGGGTATCGTGGCGTTGCTACCAATCCAGTTTACTACACAGCCACGGGTGCCAGTTGGCCACAAGGCAGATGCGACATTTGTGGCAAGACAGACTCATCTGATTGTGGGAAAACGCTCATATCAGAAGTTAATTCATTCTAAGCGACTTGGGCTGACTAATCGCTTGCATGATATAGAATATTCTTAAACGAATCATTTTGCCGATTGTGCTGCGTCTGCCATTAAGTGAAATATAAAAGGGGCTGTTGACACCAACAGATCAGGCTTGAGTGCTCGACTGACGGAGAGAGGGTGTTGAGCCACCAACCGATAGAGGGCAACTCAACTGGTCAACTCACGCATGGTTTCGTTTGTAAATAGGATTTTGAGGCACATTTCATGTATATGATTTAGTGGTACTCTCGAAATCCAACTTTCAAATGAAGCAAAGTAATGTCGTCGATTGCTGCAACAAATAAAAGTTTGCATCAACGACAATTGTGGCAATGTGGCGCAGTGGTTAAGCTGTTGAGATTATACACTGCACCGCCATGGTTCGAGTCCCTCTGAGGGTGCTGATAAGACCTAGGCGAGGTCGAAACTGCAGTTCACCCTGGATGGGAATACCTTTTTCGAAGCAAGGCAATGTGAGATCAAATGGAAACACACAGTCTACTCATATGCTTGCTGGACAATTCAATGACCCTTACTTCACCAGCTTAAACGAAATAGTGGCCACATCTTATTAACCCACTCAACCTAACCGAACGTGCAGAATTACACCATACATGATTTCGCTTGGGTCATTTAACATTAATGGCAATAGATTGATGGGTTATGACCGATGTACAGAGTTACTTCTCATATTCCCAATTAGAGTTACTACCGGGCTTACGCAATCTGAACGTCGTGTTAAAGACAAACAGCTCCTGAGCATTCATCGTCCTTCGGCGTGACCAACCAACCACTCTCCCCATCACGCACAACAACAGCGCTATGCCAAGAAATTAATTAAAACTTGGCTACTCTTTGTATGAATAATTAGGGACCTTGTGGCCTACAAGTATCAACCTCAGTCGTCCGCTCACCAGCATGCGAAGAACACCATCATTCAATCAACGGGCAAATCTAGCCTCTTTTCAATCACATGGCCTGGCCCAAGAACACGTGTAAAACAAATGCGATGCATTTGGCATTTCTCAATCAAGTTAGAAACAATTGACGCCGAATTAACAAGGTCAACAGAAGCGCACTTTGTTGTTTGAATGCACTTATGATACGCTACCACCCAAAGGACGCATCGTGACTATTTTCTTCAATCAAATCGAAGAGCGGAAATTCACCACTTGTGATTTCTAAGCCCATAAATCATTAAAGGCGCTTATGTGAAAAGACCAACATGCATCACCTCACGACAACCTGCTGGGCGGAGTGTGCCGCATAAGGAAGTGACCAAAGACTCTTAGCCGCGATTTTCACACCATCCTGACGTTATATCACCTCGAACATTCGCACAAACATTTCGTGGGCTGGAAGGTGGCAGCAGAAGCCTACCAAGATAGTTGCCCAAACCCCTGCTCTGCCCCAAACAGCTCTTCTTTCTCATTATTTGTTAGAATTTTGCAATTATTGACATTTTATACTAATGAGCAATTATTTTGAACAAAGATTTTTATCATAATTTCCTGTCATTAGGAAAGATCAGAGAAAATGCGACCCAGTGAGCGAGCCGCGCTCTCAAACATACGAATTACAGCTGAACATAGAGTATGCACTATTTATTACAAAGTTGGTCGATCTGATGACTAACTCCTTGCTTAGTGTATCTCCTGTCATAACCTTTAAATGTGCAACTGATGCTAATTCTGTACAGTGAAGGCATGAAAATGAAAAAAACCCGAGAAAAAACAAAACAATATAAATACTCTTTTAGTCAAAAATAGATGGATCTAGGCGAACCTGTGACACAAACATAAGGACTGACGTGTATAACTGAAGACCGGAATAGGTGATTCCATTCTAAAGTGGCAATGACGCCTTCCGGCGAGACGTGAGAACAATTGTCAGATCCCAGAGTGAACAGGCAGTGTACATGGTCAGTTGAACGCATGGTAGATTGACTGCCCGTGTGTCCCGGTCAAGGTGTACGGTGTCGACGGGAGTAAACAGCTTACGTCCGGGCTCCGGGTCTTAGGACCGACAAGTGAGAGGATGCCAGTGAGTCCTTATAACGTGTGGTTGCGTACGAATATGCCATGCATGAGGGGTAATCAGGTTCAAAACTAAAACTTTGAGTCTACTTAAATGACATAATCAAGGGCATCGGAGAAGAATGACAATGACAGTGACGGGTGGACCTCTGATGTGAGGAGCGAGGGGAGCGTATTCTCCGAGGTCCCCGGCAAGCAGCGACAAATGACAAGTTTACATGTTTAAACTAATAATATAGACAGTCCGGTGGGTTGATGGTGATATGATGAGGGGCGGGGAGAGAAGGCAGGGAAGTAGTGGCGCTGTCCGAAATAAAAAATAGCGATACAGAGCAAAACAGCGAAAAAATAGTACGGCATAAAGGGAGATATCATCTCCAAAGTCGATGTCTAAATCTAGGCAGATCTCTGAATGCGTCAAAGGCATAGCGACGCGCGCTGAATGATGAGTAGACTTGTTTGCGGAGTTTCAAGAAAGCACAGGAACAAAACGACGTCCCCGAGTAAAAGGCCAAACAGTGAGACTCTGAGTGCATGTAAAGGGGGGCAGGAGGAGGGGAGAAGAGACGGTCAAAGCAGGCCTGACCGGGACGTGATGAGTGTGATGAGTGTGGTAAGCGTGGAGAGCGTGGAGAGCGTGAAAAGGTGGGCAAAGATAGGCCAAAGTGGGGGCTGGACGTGAGAAGAAGCACAAACGTGCAAAAAGGAGGCGCTTGAGTCGACACGGGGCTGCGAACAACAGGTCAATTCAGCCTGAATCAATTGGTCACTTTGCTTTTTCCCGTCAGCAAGTGAAAGCAAGTTGGAGTGTATCACAGATGATCCAACGAAAAAGGCTCCGAGCAGGGCAATTCACACAAGACTACGGGGGCGAGATGACAGAAAGCGGAGCGCATGCTCAAGGGGGAATGTTTACAAGCCCAGATGACATGAAATTTGTTTAGCTGAGCGTCCATCGAATCTTACCATTGACAAAAGCCAACCAGACAGTGAAGACTAGAAGAGATAAATGGAACCACAGTGTTCCGGCAATAAGTCGAGGCAAGTGACACCTTTCCGTTGGTCTGTGTGTGTCTGTCTGTCGTGCCAGCTAGTTTATGCATCACGCGAAACGCCAATACTCATAGCTCGGAGGGAAAGAGGAAAATGAGCCGATCTTGCCTGGATCAGCCCTATTCATGAACGGGTTGAGACGAAACGTTTAAACTCAGTGGTGAATAGGAGGGAATCGGGGGGAATCGGAGTGAAGAGATCATGTCAAAAATAGTGATAAACACATACAAACGTGTGGGAGGCCACCACGACAGTTTCGACATATTAACGTTGGCAAATAACATATACATATGTACATATATATATATACATACATATACA